TACTCAGAATCCTATAGCTATTTCAAAATTCAAGTAACTTAAAAATACCTATATAGTCAAAATATTTTGGTGATTTTGTATTCAATGTCTGCAAATTATACCTCAATAAAGCAGATTTTTTTTTTTTTTTTTTTTAGCTGGAATTGAACTTGAATTGGGGCAGAGCAGCACAATGCTTCAGAACTTCAGCAAGTCTGAGCCCTGGTTCTGCAATGACTTGCCAGGTAGCTTTAGTCTGCTTGACTGCTCTGAAGCTTAATTTTCTCACCTGTATGGGAGTCATAGACTCTGTGAGGCTGATGTAAGCATTACATGAAATTTTATATACTTATACATAACGTGCTTAGCACCGAATACTTGGTGACAACAGATGCCCAGTGAGAGTTATCATAGATATTATTTCAGAATCATGTGAAGAGTCAGAAGCCACCAAATTCTTCATTTCTGTCAGTAAGCTGATATTCATATTCTGTTGATGTTTTTTGGTGCATTTGTAAAATAGGGAAATAAGAGCTGTATGACTTCTAGCTATGTCTGGTCATGAAATAGCAACCAGGAATAACATGATGTTTCTGTTGAACACTTCCCCTTGCCCTTTGTTGTTGTTGTTGTTGTTGTTTTCAGAGGGAGGCTTGCTGTGTCACCCAGGCTGGAGTGCAGTGGCACAATCTTGGCTCACTGCAACCTCTGCCTCCCAGGTTCAAGTGATTCTCCTGCCTCAGCCTCCTGAGTAGCTAGGATTACAGGTGTATGCCACCAGTTCTGGCTAATTTTTGTATTTTTAGTAGATATGGGATATTGCCATGTTGGCCAGGCTGGTCTCAAACTCCTGACCTCAGGTGACCCGTTCACCTCAGCCTCCCAAAGTACTGGGACTACAGGTGTGGGCCACCATGCCTGGTCCCCCACTTGTTGATTTTACAGAAAAGATGGCTGTGTTACCACCTGTCCTAAGGTCAGGTATGAGTACTTGTGCTTCATTCTTGGCTCCCCAAGCCAGCGGGCCTTCCTATGCCCAGGTGAGAGAGCATGGAGTGTTACTTTGGCAGCACAGTCAGTTACCAGAGGTGGGAAAAGCAAAGGCCAGGCAGGACATGAGGGGCCCTTGCACTGGCTGGTTCTCCCTTCCCTTCACCACCCTCCAGGTGAATGACTGGGTGAGTAATGATTGACTGAGGAGGTAATGAATAATTTATGGGCACTGCTGGACCTCAGTCTCCTCATCTGAAAGATGAGTGGTTGGAGAAGTTCAATGGTTTCCAAATGCTTTTTTTTTTTCAGTCTTCAAATACGTATTTACGTAGAGGCACCATATCTGAAGCAGGTGACAGTGGACCAGTCTGAATGAAATGAGGATTGGCAGGCCTGAGCTCCAAAACCTTCTGGTTGCCCGAGCCCTCCTTGTCTTGCTTGGCCTTGGATTATCTCCACACAAATGGAGAAACTGGATGAGGTGGTCACAGAGGTCTCTGCAAGCTCAAAGACTTTCTCATTCCAGGATCCCCCCTGTTCATATGCCAGCGTGACATGGGGGTGCTCTGTAGTCAAGCAGGGTCCTTTGGGGGGCTTAGGGATGGAGTCAGGAAATGGCTCTGGGACTCAGTGGGTGTCCAGAGTCTTATCAGCAGGGTTTCTTTACTTTCACTGGGTGGCTGGTGCCTGTACACTGAGTTTTGCAGGCTTGCTCTCACAGAGCGAGCTTCCTGCAGGCTCCCCACTGCAAGCCCCTTTCCTTCCTGGAGCTGTGTGCTGACTGGTAGGTGAGCACCCAGGCCCTCTCCCCATGGCTGCTGACGGCCAGCTTTCTCTGCACCCTCGTGGTTGCCACAGTCAAAGCTGATAAAATTGCTGATGCAGATTGCCTGCCCAGCTGCGAGTGCTGGCATGGGACCAGCAGCCCAGACGGTCACTGGAAGTGGTTGGGCTGATTATTGGCATCATCTCCATTGTCCTACGCAGTTCTTAAAGGCATATGGGCTTGCCTCACTCCTACAGCAAATGACGGCATGGGCAAAGAGGGGCAACAGACACCACCCTGAAGACACTCCTCATCTGGTTGACTTGGTGGGGTTAAGGGAAAAAGATGTGATGACTAGGGACTGAGAGCTCTGTGGTTCTGCCAGAGTTGCAGAGTCTTTGTTGGCCTCGGAGTGGGACCTCTCACATCTCTGTCAGCTTGTCACAGATGCCAACCTGTTATGATTCATTTCACCTGTCCTGAGCACTAGCAAGAAAAATTCCCTGTAGCTTGTGATGTATTATTCTGAATTTCTCAACTCACTCATTCGTTCATTCATTCACTATACCATTACTCTCTATTATAAGGGGGGCACAATGGTATGTGCTGGGAATAAAAACGACGTTTCATGTGTCATGAGGCTTCTCTGTCCTTAAGGAGTCCGCATGTCTTTGTACCTCTCTGTCTGCCACATTATTAAGCTACACTGTGAGAAGCTACTGAGAGCGGCATGTGGGACATGCAGAAGGACAAGAGGCAGGAGAGATGATTCATGTCGGAGAGGCAGGGGAGCACTCACGGAGAGGGTGATGTTTGAGCCGAGTCATGAAGGCTAATGGTATTTTTCCATGCAGAGAAGTGGGAGGAAAGGCATTCTGTGTGGCGGGCACACGGTGTGCAAGGGCAGAGAGATGTGAGCGAGGGTGGCGTGCTTGCGGCCATGAGTAATGCAAGAGCATGGGGTGTGCAGGATGAGTGGCCAAAGGCGGGGCTAGGAAGTGGTGGCTGAGGTCATTATGTGAAGGCTTTGTGCTACTGCTTCAGAGTTGTGGAACCCGACCTCGAGGTCTGGGGAAGATGCTGATGGCAAGGGATGGCATCATCAGGTTGTGCTGCCATCCCTGAAAGGCCCAGGCTCAAAGGTTTTGGGTTAAGTAAGCCAGGAGGGTTAGAAAGAGAGGAAGATGCCAGGGCATCTGGTAAGATAAAGCATGTGTCAGGCTTGGAGTTGCATGAGGCAGGTGCCCTGAGCCCATTGATGCAACTTCCAGCTGCTTTGGTGGCGGAGCGCAGGCACATTTGGAGAGCACACCTTGCTCTGGCCCCTGCCCACTCTGCTCACCTCCCAGGGCCCAAATTCTCACCTGCTCGCCTTTGGTGTGGCTGGGGGAGGCATAGGCCTCCGGGTAGTGCTGCCGCTCAAATGGGCACTCGAGTGGCTCGAGGTGGTGCTGGCTGAAGGCGTCCGTGCGAAGGTGCTTTCGGGGTCCGCTGCTGCTGCTCTGTGAGTCGATGCTCAGCCGGCAGCTATCCTGATCACCTGGTACCCCCCAGTCAGGAAGAAAGCTTTTAGGGGACATATCTACTCATGCCCTAGGCCAAAGTAGAGGACTGACTCCAAGCCAACTCACTGTGGAGGGAGAAAAAGGGCCAGCCACCTGGGCCCAGGAGCCTTGGCCAACTGACAGACAGGACATGTGACAGTCACATGCCGAGCTCCTACAGAGTCCTATGTCATAAGTGGAAAGGCTTCTGTCCCCATCAAAGCCTGAGCAAACTGCCCTCGTGCACCCCCGCTGCCCCCCTGTCCCAGCACTCACTGTCATCCATTTTCCTCTTGTCACTGCCAGGCTGAGCGATGCCCAGGAGCCCATTGATGGAGTAGGTGGAGCCCAGGGAATCCGACTGGGGTGACTCTGGAGGAGTTACAGCTGAGCTGGGGACTGCAGCGGGGGAGAGGGAGAGAGTCAAGGGTGGGACACTCCTCAGTCCTGGGTGACTCT